TAATGTGACAAATGTAGTTTTATAAATTAATAATTAAAACATGACTAAGTGCTTGTAGTACCTCTGTGGCTTTACAAAGGCACAGTAGTGACTTAAGTTAAATTGTTAACATGCAGGTGTTTAGCTGGTATAATGTTTACTGTGGTCACCATCTTATTTGTACCAAATTTCATGATAATTCATCCAAATAGTTCAGGAGACATTTCTTTAAAACCACAAATGTGAACCTCATGGTGGCACTGGATAAAAAGTCAGGGAATTGCCAAGGTCAGTAGCATTTTTCCTCTGGGGGCCATGAATGTCTGTATAAACCTTCCTGGCCGTCAATCCAATAGTTGGTAAGATATTTTAGCCTGGTGGTGGACTGACCAACAGACTGTACATCGCCATCTCTACAGCCATGCTGCCAGCGTGACTTATAATTAAACCAAGAAGTACTTATCCGATGTAATACATATATACATCTGAGGGCACAAGCAAGTTATGATCTGTATGGAGTCAACATACACTTCTTTTATATTTAGTTGTAGTATTTGCCTTATGCCGTATGGCAGTTCTATCCGTCTGAGTGAACTGTCTGTACTCAATCCTATACAGTCCAGTGAATCCAGCCTGACCTGCATTTATGTGTCAGGTATTGCAATTTAAAGTCACGGCATTGCTTAACAGAGACACACAGGCTTGAAATGCACAATGAAAGATCAGACTGAGCAGCATTCAGAGAGTGTGCATTTTTGTATGGGTCCACTCTCGGGAATTTCTTTGTAAGACTCCATTTTTTGCTTCACACCTGTTATCACCGCGGTGAAGTGAAGCTCATCTGCATGGAAAAGCTGAAACACACATTCTTTACAAGGTCAGTCTCACATATATTCTTAATGAAGCACCTCCGGGGTGTGCATCATGGGGAAATGGGGAAAGAGCTGGTCACACATCCAATTACTGATTGAACTACCAGGGAGCAAAGCAATAAGAGATGACTGTGTTATCCCTTAAAATATCACATACAAACTGTGTGTGTGTGCGAGAGAGAAATAGAGCCTTGTCACTTTCTGACTACGTGACTCAGACAGCCAGTAGCACTACAACATTGTGAAAAGGTTATTGTAGGTGCTACAAAACATGCTCTGTAGCTCACCTCAGCTTCCTCGTTTAAAGGTGTGATCCTTCAAAGGAAACACTTCCCGATTTAAACATGAATTGTACCTTTTACATCTTCTTTCATGAGAGTACAGTCTGATTGAAAACATGGGTAAAGTTTCTTTGTTTGTTCATTTAGCAAAGAAATGGTTATAAAAGCCAAAGACGAAGTGATTTCTGAAGGATTGGCCTTTGCTGTACTGTATAAGGTACACTGACGATCTTAATGGTTGAGGATTTTAAGACAAGACTACAGAGCACATACTCTGTGTATGTAGCTATGGTAGATATGGTCACATTGGGACAGTGGATTTTAAAGCGTTATTTATAATTAAAAAAAGAAAAAAAATGACACGAACAATGTGAAAGGTGTTGTATAGACAAATCAGCAAAGAATAACCTAACTCTGCGGTTCCCCTCAGCTTTACAGAATTTTAAGCATCTTTCAGCCCATTATTTTGGCTTTTAGGGACAGTGAAGTTAGCTTGTGTAAAGTTAACTGAAAAGTAAGATAACTTTACTGTTCTGGTTCACTATCACCACTCTCATCGGCCACATTTCCAACAGCAGCGGGAAGAAAAATGAGAAAAAAACAACTCAGATAAACGCAATGTATGCTACAGGCCCAGTACCACAGAGCAGAGAGACAACGTTAGCAACTACATGGTGAAGCATTTAGCTGCTTCACCATCTAAGAGCAATGATATTTCCCTCAGGAATTGGTGTAGTCCAAAACAGAGCTTAAAGGAGAGTGAACATTAGACTTACTTTTGTTGTTCTGCCAACAAGTCTTTCAAGGTAAAAAAGTTATTTAATAAGAGGGGCCTTTAATAGTCTTCTTGCTTGTATGTAATCTCCTGATCCTGATGTGTGAGGACTGTTGTAAGCAGCTAGTATTGGTTTTCGCTTCTTCTTTTTCTCAAACCTGTAATTACGTTTTTACTGTTTTTGGGTCTTGGGGGCAGCGGAAATAAGCTGTGAACACGACAGTGACATATCACCTTTTCAGTTGATATGGCAAACATATATTGCTTATTTAAACATCCAGCAGTTAAAGTACAAAGCAACACTATCAATCATTTGGAGCCGTGTTTCTGGACATTTGGTAAACGAAAATCCAATAGTCACTCTCTTTCAGGTCGGCTTTTGGTTTCTACTAACTCCCAAGGGAAATACTGGCTCTTTAGCTGCTAAATGCTCCACTGTGTTTATCAGCTAGAGGTTAACAGTATCTGTCTGCTGTTTGGTGCTGAGCAGGTAGAGTACAGTGGGCTTTTAGAGCTTTTTTCACCGAAAACAGATGCCTCCTGACACTGTGAGTGATGGTACAGTTTTGGTCCCGACAGCTAAACAATGATCTGACGCTCACTATAAAGTTTCTTAATGCTGAGAGGAGCTGCAGAGTCACGTGATAATTCTCTGTATGTTCATCACTGTGAGTGACCCTTTTCACATTGTCACAATGTTTTCACATTGTCATTTGCTTTAATACTTTCTTTGACAGCAGCTGCATTCAGTTCATTTCTCTTCACATGCATGTATATTTTGATTTAACATGGCAACGTATGCTGAGACATAATGCAATGGCATAAGCCTCAGAATAAATCACACGCTGTGATGTGTTTTTGATATTTATGGCATGGGCTTGGGGGCTACTATGCTATATGTTAATGTGTTGTGTGTGGTAAAAGGGTGGGGGTCTCTTTTAGTTGGACTAGAGGGACAACACACATACACAGGACTGCACTGTGAATAATCAGGTGCACAGCCCATACTCACAAATACACACACATAGCACCAACTCAAATCCCTGCAGGCTCTGCCAAAACTATATTTATTTAATGAGCCGATGGCATTCTACATACATGTACAACACTGTGTCCAGACTGAAGCCAAAGGGAGACGGAAAGGCAAGGAAGGGAGGCAGGGGGGGGGGGGGGGGGGGGGGCACACACTGAGGCTGAAGCGAATGGGAGAGGCAGAGTGATAGATAGCGAGAGCAAGAGAAGCGCTGCGGGCTCTCTCGTAATGGTCTGAGGACATCACTGTATCTGATGCTCACAGGCAGAACTGCACGACTAACAGGACAGAGAAGTGGAAGAAAGGAAACAGAGGGGAAGAAGAGAGATGGAAGCCTGAGGAGGAGGAGAGAGGACAGAAAGGGAGATCAACATGGACTGGGTGGGTATGGCAGATGGGTAGAGGGTAAAAGAAAGGAGAAAACTAGAGGAAGTGAGAGTCGGTGAATGGGTGACTTGGAGGATGACAAAAAGAGAGAAAGAACATTAAGAACATGATGTAAATAAGACAGGGGTGGCAGATGAGTAAGCTAACAGATCGGGAAACAGATCATCAGTGCATCATACCAACTAACCAAGTGAAGCATCTCCACACAAACTAATTAGGCCACACGCTGACTCCAACATGCACACCTGCACCCACACAAACTCACAATAATACTCCATCTCGTGTCTCATGTAAGGTGTGCTGCCTGTGTGCCCTGAAGATGTTTTCCTTCCCCGCTGTCAGCACCACGCTGAAGCTCAGGCTGTCTCATTAGAGGTGATTATGTGATGCGATTTGCTTTAACAACTGGCCACATTCACCAAAATTCACCATACTGGACAGAATAGGAAAACAAATTCAGTGGTGCGTGCGTGAAATTATGAACTTAATTCCTCATCTGCGCCGCTGCTCTCTATAAATAGCAACATAATGACCTTGTGGTAAAATGTAGAGTATGTCAGCTGATATTTGTAACACTAAAATAAGGTTTGAGCTGTTTAGAAATCACAAGGGTAGAATTCCAAGGGAATTTATGTAGGAAAAAGCAGTATACGTTAACATGCCACAATTTGTAAGGATAAGCACCCAAATTAAGAGGGAGACGAGATTGTTACCACAGAGAACAGGATTATAATGTCGTAGGGATCAATACCAATAACTCAACAGTTTCTCTGCCCCCTGCAGGGGTTTATGGCTTATGTACAGTATGATCTGTTCTCATGCCATGTACAGTATGCAACAGGCTAGAGAAAGACATTAATGCACATGCAGTCATGGGAACCTGATTAGCAGGCTAGTAGAACCATTAACATATTCTGAGCAAGCGGTTATTATTTAAATGAATGTGCCTCTGTGTTTGGATACATCCAAAAACTACCATCAATGACTATAAACTTATTTCAGGTTTGCATGAAGACCTACATCAGCGGTTTCCTTACAGCTCATAAATAGCTGAAACAATCCTTTTTAGTTGTTTTCTCTTGTCCTGCATGTCTATTTTTTTTACATAATGGCTGTGCAGTTACTGTGAAATTGTGGTGTTATACATTGTTTTTCATTTAAAGCAATGGATGAACACCAACACTCAAACAGGTCTCTATCTGCTGGTAGAACATACAGTAACTGGAGGAGAAAGTTGAGGATACTACAGGTGAGACTGTAGATATTATAGAGAGTGGAGAGGAGAAACAGCATGGCAGGATGAAGCAAGAGGACGATGAAACGAGGGAGGGATAGAAACACCATTATGAGGAAAAACGGGGTAATGAAAATAGGAGTGTGCTGTGTAAAAGTGGCTGACACACAAGAGGCGAAGGCTGCTGACAGAGAGAAGATGAGGGAAGCGATTAAGAGAAGGTACATGAAGAGAATACTTTAAGAGCGACAAGACTGAGTGGGGTTTCTTTTAGAAGGATTCCACAATGAAAAATGAAGAGATGGGGAATTCCTACCTTTTCTTTAATTTGTGAGCTTTAATAAAAAGAAATGGAAATTCTTTATTGTTGCTCAGTAGCATTCATCTCAACCTTCCCACCTGTAGGAGGGAAAGAGGACAAGGATGAGGCAGTCACATGATCCCTGTACCCATACTTTAGGTTGGAAGGGGAGGCGTGAAACAGCGATGCCGTCAACATCCTGCTGATCAAATGTATGCTACTATTGAGCATGCGCTGAGCAAGGCTTGGACTCATTTTATTTGAACATTAGGAAGAAAAGTTTTTCAAAGTCGAGGACGGCGGGGCCATGTCGCCCTCTGATCTTGTGTTTAGATGGTGCGTGTTCGTGTTTCCTTTAGTCATCGCACTTACAGCAGATGAGGATGAGCCCAGAAGTGACTGGAGGGTATAGTCTAAAACATTGACGAAGTTGACAGAATTGCGCAGGAGCCCTCCAGCGGACAGGTGGCTGTCATCGTCACCGCACACTGAGACTACAGGAAACACGCAGAGGACAAACTCCAGACGGTGTATAAAATACAGCTGAGCGCAGAGAGCAGGGAGGAGAGCAGGATCCGAAGTGACTTTTGACGCGGCAGTCGACTCAAACACAAGCAGACAGACATCGGGTGTGTGTGTGCGCGCGCTCCAGCTACACAGAGAGAGAGAGAGAGAGAGAGAGAGAGAGAGAGAGAGCACCAGCAGTCTGACAAAGCTGCACTCCCTCGAAGTTTGACATCCCCAGCGGACGACAGACGGAGTTCTGCTCCGCCGCTGCCATGGAGCCTCGGAAGTGTGCCGGATCTGTATTGATTGGTGTTTACCTGTGGGCGACATTCTGCTGTCAAGGTGGGTCACTGGCGGAGCCTTCAGTCTGTTTCCTGTGTGTCAGAAGATGCAGAGACCAAAAGAAAAAGATGCAGCCAGGCACTTTTTCTTTGACGTTATTTTTTTTTTGTCATCTTGGCATAATTTACATTTGTCAGACAGACGAAAGCTGCAGTTAAGACACACTTAATACTAGTTCGACTGCACATCTGGCTTGACGGGAGACTGGCAAATGCGTGTTCTGGGGTTGCCCGAACAAGATCGTTTTGTTTGAAAGGTTCCTTAAGAAATATATAGTAGCCTATAATGTTCTTTCAGAAAGGCAACTTAATTAATAGGTAAGTGACTACAGCTATACAACAATTTATAGCCTACTTGTGTTATAATATGTGTAAAGGCTGCTGAATCCCTTAAGATCACCACAGTTTAATACGCTGCTGCATTACTTAAATGTGCAAGCTTGCAGTGCGTGGGTCAGTGGGTGTTTGTGTGTACGTGCGCGCACGCGAATGAGCCTTCTTTAATAGTCCGACAACATCTGGTCCAGAATAAGGACTGCGTCCCAGTGCTGATGCATGAAACACATTTGTGCTCATGGGTTCATCCCTTCAGTGTAATCTGCAGCTAACGGATTGATAAATGCGTGACTATAGTCGACCAGAGCTAGAGAGGAGGTTAAATCTCTGTAATAGCTATGTTTGAAGCCCTGGTTTACATTCTAGACCTATTCTGGATATGAATGAAAAATATATTATGATATTTTCTACTTACACAGTCATTTTTTACTGACAGAACCTATTTTGGGGGGACTACTACCTTCCCTCTGTCTGACTGAAGTATACAAGAAGAAGAAAGAGAAGGTCTTGACACATTACACATCCAGGAATATTACCTGGAGTTGTTACTGTAAGTGTCCCTTAAATGGAGCAGGGTTTATTTCCTTATCAATAAGCTTCACATGCAGACAGAGGCCTCCTCCCCGTGTTACTGTCCTCACATGTTCTCCCAACAGGTTGTAGAGGAATGACACTGGACACTAACATTTAGATTAAAAAGGACTCTACCCTGAAGTGAATAAACTGCAATTACAAAGGCAGGTGCTCTGTGTATGGTGTAACGGCTACAGCAGTAGGCGTAGTTGTCCCTATGGCCCACTGCTTAATAAATTTCACAGACACCAAAATGTCAGTGATCCCTAATCAGCATATGTAAACATCTTTGAACCTTCTAAGAAAATTTCCAGAGTGCAACGTATCAAGTAGATTTCTACCTCTTTTATGGTTCTTCCCTTCTTGAGGAGTGATATGGCGTCCCACTAGACATTGGTAAGAATTTCTACGACTAGATCAAGTTCTTCTAGAAGTGCAAGGTCACGTGTTCCCTGATGTTCACATAATTAGCTGTTTGTATTGTTATGTCCACCCTCTGTTCCAGACACAGTCCCTCCAATTAGTTTCTCTGGGTGTTAAATGTAGCCTGGACACAGTCTTGTCATTGCTCGCTGAACTGTGATTATCTGAATTTGCAGTTGACTTGTCACAGATGTTTTCAGCAGTGATTGTTAATGAGAGTTCTTCCTCTGAAACAACCCAGGAAACCACTGACTATAACACCCTCACTGTTCATTATAAAAGTGGAGGAAAGACAGGCTCAAAACGCACACTCTTTCTTATTGTTGTAAAGGCTCCAACATGGGTGTAATTGCTTTTCCAGAAAAGTTGGTAAAATGTGTGTCCTAGTTTCAAACATACCTGAATTGGTTCCTGCCAGCCCGTGTTTAAATTTTGTAAATTATTTTGCTCATATGTAAATGTGAACTAAATCATTTTCTGCTACTGCTATTGATTAGGAATGACCCGTGTTGAAAATACCACCTCGAAGACAATATTCTATATCAATTAATGTAAACCATGATGTAAACGCATGCAAATGACAAACTGGAATTGAATGATTCATGGGTCTGCGTCCAGGGTGACTAAGACAAATGTCCTTCTGCTGAACAGTTTGAAGTTTATTCAACAGCCTTAATTGCCCTAATGACAATGTGGATGATTGATTAAAACCCTTTTAATGTGCTTGTTGGCCTTTTATATTGTCCTTAATCAAGCTTCTATAGCCAGAGTTAAAGGGTGGAGTTAAATGAATGGAGTCACCATGCACTAATCAATAGTTTTATGTTAATAAGGAAAGAAAGTGTTTGTGTTGTGTGGAAGGGGTTTCTGGAACAAATTATTATTCCCTTTGCAGTTCCCATTGGTTCTGCTGAGCGTGTTAGTGTCTTTCAGCTCATTGTTTTGTTTTTTGGGACGGCAACTTTACTGTTTACTGGTTCAGTCTTATGATTCTAATCAACCTCGTCTCCAGGCGTACCAGGTAATTCCCTAGGGAGAAGTTGAAAAAACAGAGCTAAAAAGAGTGTGAATTTTGGGCTTTCATTCTTCAGGTGGCCAGAAACATGACTCCAAATGAATTATAATGTTGCTCCTGCTGGATGTGCTGGCTAACATATGGTGTCATCACAACTTTATTACATGATAGTACGTGTTGTGTCCACAAGTGGCCATAAAATCAATGAATGCAGTTTTAAGGGAACTTTTTAAAAACAAATGATGCTGCACCACAGCATAAATGTATCGTTCTTGTAAATGTGAAGCAAATATGTAACAAGGAAAACTTGCATGATGCATGAGACCACTCTGCATTTAAGAATAATGTTTGTATGCACTCTTAAGTCAGACGAAAAGCTTCTTAAAACATATTTCCGCGAAGTGACCTTGTTTGATATTCTGGAGGAAAATAAGTTGACCCGATCAGATTCTGTTCTACTGTCTCATTTGCTTCTCAGATTCTGGTTATGTATTGATCTTAGACAGATATCTGTGAACCAGCTGCTTTAATGTGATTCGATTTTAAATTTGGCCAAGTCTCCTCGATGTTCAGAGTGCCTGAGGCTAATCAATATTTAATCTGTCTCTGTGGTGGGATAGTCCTTCTGAGTGTTGTCATGTTCTTGAGTTGAATGGTATCTAGTTTCCGGTAATGTTTCCTTCATCAGATTGCAGCCTAGACCCTAACAAGCGCTTATTAGTAATGTTCTTTAGCTAGGCATATCTTGAAAGGAGAAACATTCGAGATGAACACTTTAATAACACATCTAATACGATAATGTAAAGGATAAATTAATGTGAAAAATGATGGGAACATCCGTAAAGGAAAACGTAATCATGTGTAAGCCAAATGCATTATCTATGAAAACAATATATATAAGTGTATTGCAAACTGCACATTGCAACCTGTAAGTAATGGAAACTATCTCAGGGGTTTTGTGCTTTATCCCATCAACTACATGCCTTTTGAACAAGCTGTGCCTGGTACCTGTTAATATTGATGGCGGGTTGTCTCTCGTTTTCATTACGTTCACTCAAATGTCTGTCTTTTATTTATTGGGTATTTACAGAATTGTTCTTCCTTGTGATATTCATTTTGACCACTGTCTGTAAACCAAACTGCCTCTTGGTGACATTAAAGATGGACTCAACTCTACTCTGGCATTGTCCTACTGTCCTCAAATGTTATATTGCCGCGAGCAGCGAGCTGTTAGGGGTTTCCTTCTGGCTCTTGGAGTCTCCAATATGGTGCTCAAAAAGATGGGAAAAACCCAGATTAGGATTTCGCTTAGGGGTGTATAATTTTGTATAGTTGTCTACAGCTGCTCTCTATTGTACTCAAACAGTTTCCTTGACATGAATACTACAGGGAATCTATGGGTGTGCCATGTTGCATTTTATAACTTTAGTTCATGGAAGGTGTGCGTAAACTGGTTAGTTTCATGCAGCATTTGTAATGTTGGTTGGATTTCAGTGTAGCATTTACTGATTCTATAGTTCTACGAATGGTAGGTCACACTGTTAACTTGTCGACATTTACACATAGAAAAACATGCAAATTACCTTTAGTCAATAGGGAATGTACACTCACCTAAAGGATTATTAGGAAAATGCCTTGTTGATGCTAGAGGTCAGAGGAGAATGGGCCGACTGATTCAAGCTGATAGAAGAGCAACTTTGACTGAAATAACCACTCGTTACAACCGAGGTATGCAGCAAAGCATTTGTGAAGCCACAACACGCACAACCTTGAGGCAGATGGGCTACAACAGCAGAAGACCCCACCGGGTACCACTCATCTCCGCTACAAATAGGAAAAAGAGGCTACAATTTGCAAGAGCTCACCAAAATTGGACAGTTGAAGACTGGAAAAATGTTGCCTGGTCTGATGAGTCTCGATTTCTGTTGAGACATTCAGATGGTAGAGTCAGAATTTGGTGTGAACAGAATGAGAACATGGATCCATCATGCCTTGTTACCACTGTGCAGGCTGGTGGTGGTGGTGTAATGGTGTGGGGGATGTTTTCTTGGCACACTTAGTGCCAATTGGGCATCGTTTAAATGCCACGGCCTACCTGAGCATTGTTTCTGACCATGTCCATCCCTTTATGGCCACCATGTACCCCTCCTCTGATGGCTACTTCCAGCAGGATAATGCACCATGTCACAAAGCTCGAATCATTTCAAATTGGTTTCTTGAACATGACAATGAGTTCACTGTACTAAAATGGCCCCCACAGTCACCAGATCTCAACCCAATAGAGAATCTTTGGGATGTGGTGGAACGGGAGCTTCGTGCCCTGGATGTGCATCCCACAAATCTCCATCAACTGCAAGATGCTATCCATCAATATGGGCCAACATTTCTAAAGAATGCTTTCAGCACCTTGTTGAACCAATGCCACGTAGAATTAAGGCAGTTCTGAAGGCGAAAGGGGGTCAAACACAGTATTAGTATGGTGTTCCTAATAATCCCTTAGGTGAGTGTATACTCAGTATGTGCTTTATTTCAGTAGGAACACCTTGTGGATGCAAATAATTCATGTAAATAACTAGTAAATAAGCACTGTCTCTGTCTTTGTGTATCAAAGATGTACAGTATAGGTAAAATTTATTTCCAGATATAAATATCAC